TCATTATGTGTTTAAGTTTAACCCCGTTGAGCCTTGTTAAGCCTATGTTCTTTGTTAACCCACACTATCCTTACCTAGCCTAGTTTTAGGATCATTCATACCCTTGTTCTTGAAGCATAGTAAAGCATGACCTAAAATGAACTCTTTTTTTATCAATGTATTGCAGAAAGCAAGTGTGGGGGGGAAGTGATTCTTGTGTGTGTGTGTGCCAAAGTCCTTAATAAGGCACGGGTAGAGAAAAGAAAAAAAAAGTATGAAAAAAGCTCTAAAGTGTTGTTTGTTAAAAAAAGGTCCAAAACATTGAATTCGGCCCTAAGTGTTGCATGAATCTTCCCTTTGTATGTAAAAGTTGATTCTACATTCTAAAGTGAATTCCAAGTGTCTATTTCATTGCTTTGCTTGCTATCGCTTTAAGAACGTTTGTTATTCCTATCCTTTCTTTGTTAGCCATTACCTCCAAGCCCTGTTACAACCCTTGACTTCAATCTTGAGTGTTGTGCGTTTCAATTTATGGAGTTCGAAATTGGTATGAGCATATGGTGTCACTAGTTCTCGCATCTAAGTAGTAGCATACCATTCATGAGGTCATATCTAAACATGCTTAATAACTCCAGAAAATTGCTTCCTTTGTTATAACATATGCCAGTCCCAGTCTCTAGTGTAGGGTGTGTAGTCAGAAAATGTGTGTGAAAATAGAGAGTATCTTGTAAGGAATTGAGCAAATTCTCTAAGGCATGTTACTACATTCAAAACATTGTTTTAATTGGTTAATTGTGAACTAGTAAGTAATGACTGTGATTAAGTTTGTGCTCAAGTGTGAAGATAACCAAAATCTGTGTGTGTTTTAATGATGATTTTTAACATGTCATGTGCATTGGAAATCCCTGAGGCAAATGTTGGAAGGTTACATTGTGTTTTGTTTGTTTTGTTTCGTTTTGTTTCTTTTGTTTTGCTCGAGGACTAGCAAAAGCTAAGTGTGGGGGAATTTGATAGGAGCATATTTATGCAACTTAGTTAGCTTGTTTCTTGGCATTTACTTAGTTTAATTCTAGTTATTTTAGTACTTTAAGCTATTTTCGTGTGTTTGTAGGTTCAAATAACAAAGTTAGCAACAAAGTGCTATTTGGAGCATTTTGGAGCATTTTTGGGCCAAGATTGGATAGTGCAAGCATAGAGACATGAGGATGGACGTTTTTGAAGATTTGAAGGCTAGATATCAGCATGTGTGTGTGCAAGTGTGTTGACCTACAACTACAAACATTCATCCACTACACCCATTACATCCACACATTACCAAACATCCATCCACTACACCCATTACATCCACTCATCCATTACATCCACTCATTACCAAACACTCACCCATTACATCCACTCATTACCAAACATTCACCCACTACACCCATTACATCCACTCATTACCACAACATACACCACTACCACCTTAATTAGATGGTGGTCATCTCCCTAGCCTATAAATACATCCACCCTTCACCATAACAAGGGAGAGGAGATCTATCCAAAGACACATTCACACGGACAGTTTAGGGAAAAGGGAGGAAGACACATTCTGCCGTAAGGCAGAGTTTTTTCTTCTTAACCATTCTACACATTCCCACAATAAAAACACAATTTCATACACCTTCATTTCCCTTTCCTTGCCGTGACCTCCATCCAACCTAAACACATTCAGCCATTCCCTTCCATATATCTATACGCATCCATCAAACCACACCTTGTGCCACAACAAAGAGAAGAATGAGGACCCTTGGACGTGCTTGCCATTCAATTTACTTATCCATTTGAATTAAAACTGATTTGTGTATGTTGGTTGAGAGTGCACGCTTAATTTTCATGCATAAATTTGATGCTAGGATATAAGGGAGTTTCACCTAATCGTTATGAACTTATATTCACAAGTAGTGAAGGTTGCTCGTCACAACTGTGTTAAGTAAATTCTTGGCATAAGTTTCATGCAATTCATAGTTACAAGTGTCTCGTCAATGCTTATGATTTTCATAGAACTTAATGATTCTTGCTTGTATCTCTATTATGCAATTCATGTAGGGAACCTATGGGGAATGCTTTGGATTGTTGTATGCAATCATCCAATTCAATGAAATTAGGAAAATCTGAAGGTTAATTATTGCAATTCACAGTTAATCTGGGGCGTTGAGAATTCGTAGTTTATTGAAAAGCAACTGGAAATCGTTTTGTTTGCAAGTGTGTCATGTGTGGAGAATAACCTCCTAGCTAGCCTTCCATCCATTCAATTTACTCAAATTCTTGCAGATTTCATTAGTTCTTTAATTTACTTGTTTTGTTTTCAAATTCATCAAAACCAAAACCCCTTTTACCTTGTTGAGTCATATTAGTTAGAAACTGATTTAGTTTGTGCTTTTAAGTATTTCGAACCAAGTTGAAACCAAAATTCGTCCAAAAGTGTGTTTAGAGTCCAAATTTGGCCAGTTTGTGTTTTTAGGCAGATTTGAGTGTTTTTAGCTTGTTTTGAGTTCTTTGAGTTTGTTTTGAATTTTGAGTCTAGTTTAGTGTTTTTAACTTTGTTTATATGTTTTTAAGTCAGTTTATAGGTTATTAGCAAGCCCTCCTAATCCCCGGTCCAGAACGATACCTACTTACATTCTTTACTACAATTGATACAAGAGGGTTTAATTTATGTGTTAAGTAAAAATTCGCATCAGCCCTCATGTTTGTTTATGGAGTGGCTGGTACAATCATCCACTAAAGTAAATGAGACATAATATTTACGAGGTTTGGTAAGTGTGCCTACGTCCTCAGGGCAATGGCAATATTCTCTCGCAATATCAAACTGAAATTACAAAGCAATGAAAATAATAGATTGTGTATTTTCTTCTTTTGTAACATTTGTGAGCTAATAGGCCATTTATATAGGAAAACATATAGTTCCCTGCTAAGGCCAAGAAATGTGAAAGTAGCACACGAGACTAGCATCACACCTTCAACATTTGTGGGTTAACAAAAAGTAGTGGGATGGTGCCTATTTCTCCATGTGGGTCATCTTTTTTTTTTGACAAGCAATATTATCTACACTAAAGAGGTGCAGGAGTGGGCTAAGCCTCATAATGGCCTACCAATAATGTGGTTCAAATTCGCTTTTGGCAAGAATCGAACCTAAGACCTCTCACTTACAAGTGAAGATGAATACCACTAGATCGTACTACTGATTGGCTCATTCATTTTTATAACATCTTTTAGGATATTTCTTAATAATAAATTGGCTAAATAGGATGAATTGTCCCTGTGGTTATAGAGTATTCGGAAAGTAACTCTTGTGGTAGAAAAATTAGGATTTAAACATTCGTGGTGAAGAATGTTAGAAAATTTAACCCAAAAGTTAGATTTTTGTCAAATCTTAGTTAAAATGTAGGAATAAAAATGTCCAACAACTCTTTATTTTTGTTACCCTTTCTTCTCTTCTCCTTTCTCTCTTTTTGTGTACCTCCACGGCTCCCTTACAAAATAACATGGCATTGGGCTCATCTGATGCATCTCCCAGGGTTGAAGACTCAAGGAAACAGCTTTTGGGTCCATTAAATTCGGGTTTTGAATTCAAAGCAAACGGTTCGAGTTTAAATTCCACTTTGGTAGGGCAACTTGTGGGAGTTATTGCAAATACACCTGAATATGAACAAAAATAGAATGGAGAAACCGATAAAAGAAAAGTTTAGGAACTTTGGTGGTGTAAGATTTGTAGCACTATCTTTTTGTTTTGCTGAATCAGAGTGATTTTATTTTTAGCTAAAAGAAATGTTTAGTTGAGTTCCACAATGGAGGTATTGTGTTTGTTATGATAAAAATGCGATGGTTGAAAGTGACAAGATGAGGAATGGGAATAGAGATGCACTCATATCTTTGAGGAAGATACCTCGGACGACCAAAACTAGTGTTCTATCTATTTTTGAGTCAATAATGGAGATTGGGGGCTACAATCAAGACCTCTGGTGAAGGAGGTATGCCATACCTGTGGCAACCATGACTCAAATGAGCGCACTTGGCGAGCCGTGAAGGTACACAGAGAGAAAGAGGAAGAGAGAAGAAAGGTTAACACAAAGAAAGAGTGATTCAACATTTTTATCCCTACATCTAATTGAGATTTGACAGAAATCTAACTTTTGGGTTAAATTTGCTAATATTATTCACCAGAGGGTTTAAATCATGATTTTTTTTTACAAAAGGGGTTACTTTTCGAATACTCTAAAGACCAAAGAGATCATTAAACCAATTTGGCCTAATAAATTCTTTAAGTTTGACTTTTGAGTTTAGCTGTTTTGCAACATCTTAACCTTAGGATTTACTCGCGCCTTGGTGCGTGTGGGATAAAAACGAAAGTGCACGACTTGATAAAAAATGAAGGGTTTTTGTGACAAATGGTCTTTGAAATTGACTCACCTCATCAAGATGATCCATAAATTTGAAAATCAATCAATATAGTGCTTGAAAATGGGTGTTACAAATCAATATGGTCATTCCGTTAAAAATTTGTCAAAAAATTTGTTGTGTGCTGATTTGGCAGATAACTTGGTTCCACAAGTCTAATTAAATATTTTTATTTGAATGAAAAATATTTAAAAAATTAAAAAATTATTTTATATAATTAAAAACTTGAAAAAAAATAGGGAAGACGATGTTCTTTCTTCCCACCCCAGCTGTCGCACATAAAGGGGAGATGTCATTTCCCTCTATAAACCATAAGGATGCGTTTGTTGCATCGGACTATCTCAAACTAAATTAGCTTCAGGGACTAAGCTAGACTGGCTTAGACTAGACTAACTTGGACTAACTTAGTGAAGCGTTTGTGACAGTGTCGGACTAAAAACAAGATAATTAATAAATTCTAATATTATATTATTTAATCCCTTTTTATTAATATTTTATTATTAATTATCTCTTTTTTTTTTGTCTGAAAACTTTCATCTTCAAAAACCAATTACACAATTTGAGATCAGATCAAAACAACTCCAATTCCACAATTGCAGAGTATCCCATCGTCGAAATAGTGTCTCAAAACCAACTCCAATTCCGCAAATCAAAGCCTCTCAGGCTGCTGCCTCTATCTTCTTCGCCAATCCCAATGTCCTTGCATCTTAGGCGGTGACCCCAAGCCGCTTCGCCGTCGTGGACACCGGCATTCTTGGCTTTTCAGATTCCTCCATTGCAATCATGTTCCTCACCCACTAATGGGTTCACAAAGATCTCATGATTTGGGTTTCAATGAAACCCTCTGCGGTGATATGTGCCCACGACAGTCAGAGGCGGTAGAGGTTATGGGTCTTGTCAGATGAGGAATAAGTGGAAGATTTGTAGAGAAGGCAGACGAAAGACGGGGCTCTGGGACTTAGACGAGGAGAAGACAATAGAGAAGGAGACGGTCTTAGCAATCCGGTTGAAATTGGGGATCTTTGTTAAGAACACCTAGCGAAGTATATAATCCGAGCGAGTCCGACCTAAGCTCATTAAACATGATCCTTGTCCAGACCAAACAAGGGACTACACTAACAATGAGTCTAGTCCAGTCCAGTCCAGTCCCTCTAATCCAGTCAAACATACACACCCTAAAGTTCCTAATGAACGGCATATAATCGTCTCCCGAGAGTCCTCCGCTGGTACCCAAATGCCTCCCACGTCGATCTCACGCTCTGCCCGCGAGTCCTGGACGCCTCCCTCGCCGCCGTTCAAATGCCTGCAAGTTGAGCCTCCTTTCGATAGATCTTTCGCGGTCGAATTGCTTTTACGGAACTGGGTTACTGTGTTTGGCTGCCAATTGCTAGAATCTTGGTGGAGATCAACTTGTCGAACGCCACCGAGCTCAGAGACTCCGCGGCCGCGGCTCTGGCTGAGGCGAAGAACATTCAAATGCCTGCAATTCATCTTCGTTATTCTTTTTTCTTTTTTTAGCTTCTAATTATACAAAAAGAAAAATTGTTTTTTATTAATTAAATATTTTTAATTCTTATATCAATATTTAATAAGATTTATAAGAGGAGTAATGTGACACGTTAGCACGTTGATTTGCGACATTCAATTTTAATTTCAGGAGCATGTTGGCCCATTTCAGAGATAAAAACCCAAAACCGAACAAAACAAAGGGAAAACCAGAGTTTGAGGAAACGGTCACGAAATATCATCGTCGAAGAGAACTAGAGAAGCGAAAGAGATCGAAGAAAAAGCTCGATTGCAGGATTGCCGAGCTCCGACGACTTCCATGGACAAGCGAGGCAAACATCAGGTACTACAAATTGCTTATTCGACCGCACAATTCATTTTCTTTTTGTCCAATCAATCGAAACTTGCGATTACATTTCTCAGAAATTTGAAAATTTTGATTCGAAATGGCGATCGGATTGCTCAGGTTTCGTTGAGAGGAGCGAGCGCCAAGGAGATTACCAGAGACGCGCTTCTCGAGAAGGTCTCTCAGGAACGAGAGCTCCGTCAGTACGCCCGACGGGCCACGGTTGCTGCGCTCTTCATTCAGGTGTTTGCTTTTCTTTTTTTCATTAGTTTTCAAAAAAATTTCCGCTTTTTCATTTATAAAATTTGAAACTTCTGCATTTTGGTGTTGATTTTTGGCTAAAGTAAGCGAATTTTTTATGTGGGCAAGAATTGAAGTTCTAAAAAAATGAAAAACAAATTAGAGTTTAGATTCTGTTGTGGAGGGCATATAAGGGTTTTTCTTGTTCATATTTAATTTTGTGTTTTCAGAGAGAGTGGAGGCGCTACAGGGCCGTGAAGATGGCCGCGTTGGAGGTTCGAGGAGAGTGGGAGAAAGTGGTGGAACAGTATGCTGAGTTAGCCTTCACTGCAACATGGATTTCCAGCAATGTAGTGAGGCCTTTTCTTTTCTTTATTACTTGTTTATCTACTTGGCATAGCAACATTCAAACTACAGAAATGTGCTCTATGAAGACCTGCTTTCAGATTCTACTGGAAAGCGTGAATTCTACTGGTATGCTTCTTTTTTACAGTTGACTAGTTTTCTCTGTGTGTTTTAGCTGTTGGGTTGATTTCATTTTTCATGTGTAGATTCAAAGAAGAACTTTTGTTCATTGGCAATCGGCACTCTTGAAGAGAGTAGAATCTGGAGTTATCAGTCAAGGAAGCTGATTTCTCTCTGCATGTTTGTTCTTTCTAAGTGTGACACGTCCCGTGCACGGGATCAAGTTATTGTTGCTCTCACCTCCTTAGCAATGCGTTTTGTTGTTGTCTTAACTGATTTCAAAGGATGGAAGAGCGTTGCTGAGCATGACTGCCAGAGTGCAGATGCGGCAGTGAAGTATTTAGTTCGATTTATGGGGACTGGTGAAAGTGGTCTTTACCAATCTATTAGAAGATACATTAGTACATTGGATGCTCCTGGATTTTCACGGATAAGCAGTAACATACAAAGAGATGATAGTTTTCTGATTACAGCAAGTACAATAACTTTAGCTCTCAGGCCATTTCATCTAGCAAAGTTTGATTCAGATGGCCCTGGCTCATTGGATGTCCATTATGTTGCCGAGAAGTACTGCGTGTTTCTACTTACAATTCCTTGTCTTACCCAACGCCTTCCAGCTGTGCTTATATCTGCTATGAGGCACAAGTCCATTCTCTCACCTTGTTTCCAGACATTACTGGTAAGGCTCATTAAATTTGAACCTACTAAGTGCAAATTCATTTTTAGTAAGGTATTTCCTTTAATATACACTCTCATTAGAATATGTCTATCATTAGAATATGTCTGTGTAGATTTATCAGTGGTTATGATAACCCTTCTTTTGGATATGAAGAGCCAACTTGCTTGTAGGAATCTATATATAACTAGTGAGCAACGGTTGCATAATTCCAATCTTAATCTGGCATTTCATGTTGAAATCGTAGCTATCTCTTTTCCATGTAAAAGGGATCTATTCCAACCAATACGTCGAATTGATGCCAATTTAGTATGAGCGGGCTAGTTTAGGGAAAAGTAAAAAAATTAATCTTATTAAGATTTTGGGAATAGCATATCTCTTCTTCTGAAAACAATACATGCTTTATCAAACAATTATATTGGATGGGGAATTAATTTTATTAATGGTTCAATACTTTGTGACACTTATTAATAGGTAAATGTGAACATATTGTGGAAGGTACCTTGCAGTTGCTAGTAACAATGACTCCGAACATTACTACATAGGAGACAACCTTTTTCATATATTTGATTTTGACATTCTCAACTTGGGTAATCCGTGAGCAGATTCATTATTAAGTATGTATGATATTGGTTCTGTATTTTGTTCATTCTTCATAAATTGCATGCATCCCTCTATATGTCTTTCTATCTATGTTATGTGAATTTTCAAAAATTTTGTCATCGTATTTGGGGTTATAATCGCACATAAGTGATTAAAACCTAAGTTCCTTCCTTTTTTGTTTCCTTTTAAATATAACTTCTCAGTCCTGTAATTCCGACATGTGGGACCTGATCAAACTTGTTCAGGTGATGGCAGATTTTGAAAGACAAAATACTAAAGGAGATGTTAGATGTGGATCAATCAAAGGTTCATTTTCTTCCGAAGGTGATTCCCCCAGTTGGTTGGGCTCTTGCAAACATTATATGCCTAGCAACAGTGACAGAGAGTGATTCCGTTGATCCTGGAGGGTTCAATCAAGATTTGGACTCTGTCTCATATGTCTGTGCTGTTAACACTCTTGCAGAAACCTTATTGTCTATGCTTGAGAATGTTGACTGTGTCAAGGATAAGCAGGCTCTCCAAAGTGATGTTGAAACCCATGAGAAGCCCAATACAGTTTTATGTGAGGGTGAGACGGGTTCCTTTAAGATGTACTTGGATATGTTTAGGCCTATTTCCCAGCAGTGGCATCTTACAGATCTCTTGGCAACAATGAATAAAGTTGGTGATATTCAAGGGTCTGAGACTCTGACACCAAAAAAAATTGAACGTTTAGGGAAGTTGGAACTGCTAGATATTGTGCATTTATATTCTTACATGCTCAGAATATTTTCATTCTTGAACCCCACAGTTGGGTCTTTTCCTGTCCTTAACATGCTCTCTTTTACTCCTGGGTTTCTTGTGAATCTGTGGAGAGCCTTGGAAACTTACCTTTTTCCTGGGGATGGTCACACTGCTCCTGAGCATTATGATTGTATCACTAAAAAGTCTGGTGGTGTAAAAAAAGATGAGGCTTTTGAGAGAAAACTAAAACACACCAACAATGATGGAGTTAATAAGTGGGTCACTGTTCTTCATAAAATTACTGGCAAGTCGCAAGCAGGCATTGATAATACAAATTTGAGTGATAGTCAACCTAATCCTAGATCTGTTCATGAGGATTCTTCTGATGTTTGGGATATAGAACCTGTGAGGCATGGCCCTCAAGGTATTTCAAGAGACATGTCATGTATGCTTTATCTTTTCTGTGCAAGTTATTCGCACCTGCTTTTGATTCTTGATGATATAGAGTTTTATGAGAAACAGGTAAATACTTTAAGGTTTTTCTAATTTTCTATGTTTTCACTGATTTCTTGGATTAGTCAATTCTAATCATTTGAGCATTTCAATAGGTGCCATTCACACTGGAGCAACAACGGAAAATTGCATCTGTTCTCAATGCATTAGTTTATAACGGATTTTCTCAAACTATTGGACAGCAGGATAGACCCCTTATGGAATCTGCAATCAGATGCTTGCATTTAATGTATGAAAGGGATTGCAGGCACCAGTTCTGCCCCCTCTGTTTTGTGGCTTGCACCTGCTAGAAAGAACCGCCCTCCAATTGCTGTAGCTGCCAGAACTCATGAAGTTTTCTCAACAAATGTAGGATCAGATGATGCCCCAGTCATTCCAAGTATAGGCTCTGTTATAACTACAACTCCACATGTATTTCCATTTGAAGAAAGGTATGGAAATAATTGACAAACCGAAAACTCAATTGATTGCATAGTTCAAGTTGTTTCTTCTGTATTGTAGGGCTATTTGTTTACTTTCTTAACTTTGGAGAAGCCTGGGGGGGGGGGGGGACAAATAAGCAGTGGTGGATATAGGTCCTCATGGAATCCCATTTTTTTTTTTTTTCAATTTTTCTAAGTGAGCCATTTTGTTGAGCACTTGACAAACCCATAACAAATTGTGTGCTTAGCGTACATCCCCAACCTTTGTGCCGTATTAATTGTATATTTAGGTCAATATTGTTATAGTGAACAAAGAGATAAATCATGTGTATAGGATCGGCAGGTCAAGTTTATAAGACATGGGAGGAGGGAGGGTTAGTGGGCCTTTTATTATTTTATTATTTTAAGAAAAATGACTAATTTTAAACTTTTTTCAAAATGGTGTCGTTTCCTTGAAAACTTAGACTTTTTCTCTGTTTCTTCATCATGAGACATGAGCTGCCATAACCAGCTTTGCAACTAATTAAACTTTTGTGTTATATTCGCCTCCTGGTGGGTTTGGATGAGGAACGAATGATAGAGTTGGTGGTGTTGAGTTGATTATTATTCGCCATAGTCCGATTCGACTTTGTATCGTGTGACAAAAGGTGGCTACGATTTAAGCAGGACCCTGATTCTTGCTCAGATCGACTACCATTTTTTTAGGCCACAAAATTTTTTTTTTTTTTTTGGGGGGGGTGGGGGGCTGTGGGGGCCCTGGTCATATGCCTTGGGGTTGAACAGGTTTGTCAACTTCAATGTTTGGTTTCTATATGTTTGCAAGTGAGAGTGCGGAAGTTCTTCAATGCAATATGCATATGTGGCTTCTCTGGCTTGTGAGGTTGAGTGAGCACTGGTAGGTGGGTGGGTTGGTAGGTCTTGTTCAACTCCGATTCTTCATTGTCCATATGATTCTTCTCTGGCTTGTGAGGTTGAGTGAGCACTGGTAGGTGGGTGGGTTGGTAGGTCTTGTTCAACTCCGATTCTTCATTGTCCATATGATTCTTCACTACAACAACAACAACAACAAAGCCTTTTCCCACTAAGTGGGGTCGGCTATATGAATCCTAGAACGCCATTGCGCTAATTTGTGTCATGTCCTCCGTTAGATCCAAGTACTCAAGTCTTTTCTTAGGGTCTCTTCCAAAGTTTTCCTAGGTCTTCCTCTACTCCTTCGGCCCCGAACCTCTGTCCCGTAGTCACATTTTCGAACCGGAGCGTCAGTAGGCCTTCTTTGCACATGTCCAAACCACCGGAACCGATTTTCTCTCATATTTCCTTCAATTTTGGCTACTCCTACTTTACCTCGGATATCCTAATTCCCAATCTTATCCTTTCTCGTGTGCCCATACATCCCACGAAGCATCCTCATCTCCGCTACACCCATTTTGTGTACGTTGATGCTTCACCGCCCAACATTCTGTGCCATACAACATCGCTGGCCTTATTGCCGTCCTATAAAATTTTCCCTTGAGCTTCAGTGGCCTACGACGGTCACACAACACGCCGGATGCACTCTTACACTTCATCCATCCAGCTTGTATTCTATGGTTGAGATCTCCATCTAATTCTCCGTTCTCTTGCAAGATAGATCCTAGGTAGCGAAAACGGTCACTTTTTGTGATCTTCGCTAGATTGCTCCGGTCATTAGTGTGGATAAGTATATAAATGGATAGAGATAGGAAAGCAAACACAAGATGTACGTGGTTCACCCAGATTGGCTACGTCCACGGAATAGAGGAGTTCTCATTAATTGTGAAGGGTTTACACAAGTACATAGGTTCAAGCTCTCCTTTAGTGAGTACAAGTGAATGATTTAGTACAAATGACATTAGGAAATATTGTGGGAGAATGATCTCGTAGCCACGAAACTTCTAAGTACCGGAGTGTGGTATCGTCTTGACTTGCCTTATCTGTCTCATAGGTAGATGTGGCATCTTCTCTGGAAGTACTCTTCCTCCATCCAGGGGTGGTATCTGTAACTGGTGAAGATGCACAAGGTAATGTATCAATTTCACTTGAAGCTTACTTGTAGTTTCATGCTTGGTCAAGCGAGATACAAACCATGTAGTAGGAGTCCCCCAAGTCGCCGAGCTGGGGGATCTGCTGGAAGAGGTGACAGACAAGGTAAGCAATCAGAGCTCCGGCTGATTGTTCACATTCTCCCTATCTTGCAGGCAGCATAAAGGATAAAGAGAAGAAAAATGAAGAGAGATGATATGGGATACTTTTGCTTTTGAAGAAGTAACTTTCCACAGGCTTATTCTTGAACTGGGCTGGAGGGTTTTCTGGTTTCCTCCAGAGTATAAGGCCGACTGAAGAATTTGAGGGTCAAAACAAGTCCATCAAATCTAGAGTACGTTCGACCCTGTTGATATGGGATACTTTTGCTTTCGATAGAGTAGTGGATGTATCGGCACGTGTGCTGTTACGCTTGTCTCCACATGCTTCCTTGTATCCTTCTCACTTGCCCTATCTGTTCCTCAAGCAGATGCGGTATCTTCCCTGGAAGCATAAGATGTTGAAGATGAGTACTCGAGAGCAATGCCAGGTAAGTAATCAGGTAAGGGGTTCCAGGCAGTCAGTTCCTGGCTGGAAGCTTGATTCCAAGTGCTGACTGATTGCTCTCTTTCTCCTTGTCTTGCAGGTAAGAACAAGGCCAAAGGAAAAGACAGGGAAAAAGCATGATATGGGATACTCTTGCTTTTAACCCTGATGATATGAGATATTCTTGCTCTAGTATAGCTTGTTTACAGAGGTATTATCGGGGGGAAAGAAAGCTGAATATTTCGAAAGGCTTGTTGGGAGTGCCCTCTCAAATAGAAGAAAGGGTTGAGCATTTTTGCAGGTCTGCCTGTCCGTTAGGGATGGAAGTCGACATATATAGGAGTCTCCCTAACATCAAGTAATAATGTTATTCCTTTACCCTGCTTGGTTATAGCACGGTAGTGGGAGCTGCCAGCTTCACATGTTTTAACTCTGTCAGAGCACTTTGAAAAAGTGGTTTGTGGTATCTGGAAAGCTGATGTTGCGTGTGAAGATTACAGACCTGTCGGGGGTCTGGCTCTCGAGATTCGGAGAACGATGCCTCTTCGATTTTTGAGAAAGCAATCATCTGCTGGGGGTCTGGCTCTCGAGATTCGGAGAGCGGTGTCTCTTCGATTTTTGAGAAAGTAATCATGTTTGGGAGTCTGGCTCCTCGAGATTCGGAGGGCGCGTGCCTCTTCGATTTTGGAGCAAGCAATCTTGTTGGGAGTGTTTTCTCGAATGTGAGTAAAGGTTGGGCATGTTTGCTAGTCTACCTTGCCACGAAGCACAGAGGTTGACACACAGGGACTTTCCAATTATCCAGCAGTGGTACTGTTCCTTTACCCCTCTCTTCGATTTTTGAGAAAAGTAAATCATGTTGGGAGTTTGGCTCTCGAGATTCGGAGGAGGGCGGTGCCTTCTTTGATTTTGGAGCAAGCAATCTTGTTGGGAGTGTTTTCTCGAATGTGAGTAAAAGGTTGGGCATGTTTGCTAGTTTTGCTAGAAGTCTTCGACAGACCTTTGCCAAAAAACAAGCAGTGGGACTGGACAACACTAGGACTTTTCAAATATCCAGCAGTGGATTACTCCGAGTTCCTCCTTACCTCTCATTCTTTCGATTTTTTGAGAGAAGTAATCATGTGTTGGAGGGAGCTGGCTCTCGAGATTCGCTCGATTCGAGGGCGGTGCCTCTTTCGATTTTGGAGCAAGCAATCTTGTTAGGAGTGTTTTCTCGAATGTGAGTAAAGGTTGGGCATGTTTGCTAGTCTACCTTGCCACGAAGCACAGAGGTTGACACTCCCGGGACTTTCCAATTATCCAGCAGTGTACTGTTCCTTTACCCTTGTGGGTAATAATATGGTAGCTAGACCTTCAAAATTTATGTGTCTAAACTTTGTTAGTGTGTTGTTTCTTTGCAATTCTTTTACCCTTCTTGGTCAGAGCGATGTAGTGGGAGCTGCAAGCTTCACGTGTCTCAACTTTGTCAGAGAACTTTGGCAAAGTTATCTGTGGTACCCATGAGCTACTGTTGCGTGTGGGAAGTGGGTGATTGAACAGTACGATTCATGTGCTTTCTACTTCGCCAGAAATCTTCGACAGAATGCCCATAATTTCCGCAAAGCTGAGTGTGCGTGTGACAGGTTCTGACAAGGCTGGAAAAGTAGGTGCCTCTTCGATTTCTGAAATCGGCCCTTGTGATCTCTGAGCAGCCCAGCTTTTGAGAAAGCAAGCCTCTTCGATTTTTGAGATCGGCCTTTGTGGTCTTTGAGCAGCCCAGCTTTTGAGAAAGCAAACACCTCTTCGATTTCTGAGATCGACCCTCGTGGTCTCTGAGCAGCCCAGCTTTTGAGAAAGCAAACGCCTCTTCGATTTCTGAGCAGGCGCCTCTTTGATTTCTGAAGCTTCGTCGAGTGCAGATTTTTATAGGGGCTGACATTAAGTTCCAAAGCACACTTGAATATCCACCAGTAGAAGCTCCATTCTTGCACTTCTAAGATCTTGATTTGTCCGACCTCTTCTCTCTTCAACACCTTTGAAAATGTCTGGCCCCTCCGACCGTCGTTTTGACTTGAACCTTGTTGAAGAGGCATCCCCGTCTTCTCCAGACAACATATGGCGCCCATCCTTCGTCTCCCCTACTGGTCCTCTTACCGTTGGGGATTCCGTGATGAAGAATGATATGACCGCTGCGGTAGTGGCCAGGAACCTTCTCACTCCCAAAGATAACAGACTACTTTCCAAACGGTCTGATGAGTTGTCTGTTAAGGATTCTCTGGCTCTCAGTGTTCAGTGTGCAGGTTCTGTGTCTAATATGGCCCAACGCCTATTTGCTCGAACCCGCCAAGTTGAATCATTGGCGGCTGAAGTGATGAGTCTCAAACAGGAGATTAGAGGGCTCAAGCATGAGAATAAACAGTTGCACCGGCTCGCACATGACTATGCTACAAACATGAAGAGGAAGCTTGACCAGATGAAGGAATCTGATGGTCAGGTTTTTACTTGATCATCAGAGATTTGTGGGTTTGTTCCAAAGGCATTTATTGCCTTCGTCTTCTGGGGCTGTACCGCGTAATGAAGCTCCAAATGATCAATCTCTGATGCCTCCTCCTTCTAGGGTTTTATCCAGTACTGAGGCTCCGAATGATCCCCCTCCGGTGCCTTCTCTTTCTGGGGCTCTACCGACTGCTAAGACTTCTCCTAAGCAACCTTTGTGAAGGCTCCCTCTTGTTTGTTTATTTTGACTCAAGTATATGTACATATTTGTAACTTATCGGGGATATCAATAAATAAGCTTTCCTTCATTTCAACGTATTGTGTTAAATACACCAAAGCCTTCTTCGCTAAGTTCTTTGAATTTTCTTTTGTTGAAGCTTGTATGTTAAAGCTTTGTGAGTGGAGCATATAGGTTGAGGTAGTGTTCCCTTAATTTCCCGAGTGAGGAAAACTTCTCGGTTGGAGACTTGGAAAATCCAAGTCACTGAGTGGGATCGGCTATATGAATCTTAGAACGCCATTGTGTTCTGTCCTGTGTCATGTCCTCCGTTAGATCCAAGTACTCTAAGTCTTTTCTTAAGGTCTCTTCCAAAGTTTTCCTAGGTCTTCCTCTGCCCCTTCGGCCCTGAACCTCTGTCCCATAGTCGCATCTTCTAATCGGAGCGTCAGTAGGCCTTCTTTGCACATGTCCAAACCACCGTAACCGATTTTCTCTCATCTTTCCTTCAATTTCGGCTACTCCTACTTTACCCCGGATATCCTCATTCCTAATCTTATCCTTTCTCGTGTGCCCACACATCCAACGAAGCATCCTCATCTCCGCTACACCCATTTTGTGTACGTGTTGATGCTTCACCGCCCAACATTCTGTGCCATACAGCATCGCCGGCCTTATTGCCGTCCTATAAAATTTTCCCTTGAGCTTCAGTGGCATACGGCGGTCACACAACACGCCGGATGCACTCTTCCACTTCATCCATCCAGCTTGTATTCTATGGTTGAGATCTCCATCTAATTCTCCGTTCTTTTGCAAGATAGATCCTAGGTAACGAAAACGGTCGCTCTTTGGTATTTCTTGATCTCCGATCCTCACCCCTAACTCGTTTTGGCCTCCATTTGCACTGAACTTGCACTCCATATATTCTGTCTTTGATCGGCTTAGGCGAAGACCTTTAGATTCCAACACTTCTCTCCAAAGGTTAAGCTTTGCATTTACCCCTTCCTGAGTTTCATCTATCAACACTATATCGTCTGCGAAAAGCATACACCAAGGAATATCACCTTGAATATGTCCTGTTAACTCATCCATTACCAACGCAAAAAGGTAAGGACTTAAGGATGAGCCTTGATGTAATCCTACAGTTATGGGAAAGCTTTCGGTTTGTCCTTCATGAGTTCTTACGGCAGTCTTTGCTCCTTCATACATATCCTGTATAGCTTGGATATATGCTACTCGTACTCCTTTCTTCTCTAAAATCCTCCAAAGAATGTCTCTTGGGACCCTATCATACGCTTTTTCCAAATCTATAAAGACCATGTGTAAATCCTTTTTCCCATCTCTATATCTTTCCATCAATCTTCGTAAGAGATAGATTGCCTCCATGGTTGAGCGCCCTGGCATGAACCCGAATTGGTTGTCCGAAACCCGTGTCTCTTGCCTCAATCTATGCTCAATGACTCTCTCCCAGAGCTTCATTGTATGACTCATTAGCTTAATTCCCCTATAGTTCATGCAATTTTGTACATCGCCCTTATTCTTGTAGATAGGCACCAAAGTGCTCATTCGCCACTTATTCGGCATCTTCTTCGTTTTCAAAATCCTATTGAAAAGGTCAGTGAGCCATGTTATACCTGTCTCTCTCAAAACTTTCCACACTTCGATTGGTATATCGTCTGGGCCTACTGCTTTTCTATGCTTCATCTTCTTCAAAGCTACACCCACTTCTTCCTTCCGGATTCTACGATAAAAAGAGTAGTTTCTACACTCTTCTGAGTTACTCAACTCCCCTAAAGAAGCACTCCTTTCATGTCCTTCATTGAAAAGATTATGAAAATAACCTTTCCATCTGTCTTTAACCGCGTTCTCTGAAGCAAGAACCTTTCCATCCTCATCCTTGATGCACCTCACTTGGTTTAAGTCCTTTGTCTTCTTTTCCCTTGCTCTAGCTAGTTTATAGATATCCAACTCTCCTTCTTTGGTATCTAGTCGCTTATACATATCGTCATAAGCCGCTAACTTAGCTTCTCTCACAGCTTTCTTCGCCTCTTGCTTCGCTTTTCTATACCTTTCACCATTTTCATCGGTCCTATCCTTGTATAAGGCTTTACAACATTCCTTCTTAGCCTTCACCTTTGCTTGTACCTCCTCATTCCACCACCAAGATTCCTTTTGGTGTGGGGCAAAGCCCTTGGACTCTCCTAATACCTCTTTTGCTACTTTTCGGATACAACTAGCCATGGAATCCCACATTTGGTTAGCTTCCCCCTCTCTATCCCACACACACTGGGTGATTACTTTCTCTTTGAAAATGGCTTGTTTTTCTTCTTTTAGATTCCACCATCTAGTCCTTGGGCACTTCCAAGTCTTGTTCTTTTTTCTCACTCTTTCGATATGTACATCCATCACCAACAAGCGATGTTGATTAGTCACGCTCTCTCCTGGTATAACTTTGCAATCCTTACAAGTTATACGATCCCCTTTCCTCATTAGAAGAAAATCTATTTGTGTTTTTGACGACCCACTCTTGTAGGTGATCACATGTTCTTCTCTCTTCTTAAAGAAGGTGTTGGCTAAGAAGAGATCATATGCCATTGCAAAATCCAAGATAGCTTCCCCATCCTCGTTTCTCTCCCCAAAACCATGGCCACCATGAAAACCTCCATAGTTGCCTGTCTCTCTGCCCACGTGTCCATTTAAATCTCCTCCTATAAATAACTTCTCCGTCTGAGCAATTCCTTGCACCAAGTCTCCAAGGTCTTCCCAAAATTTCTCCTTCGAACTCGTATCCAACCCTACTTGAGGTGCGTACGCAGTAATCACATTGATAAGTTCTTGTCCTATTACAATCTTGATTGCCATGATTCTATCTCCTACCCTCTTGACATCTACAACATCTTGTGTCAAGGTCTTGTCCACGATGATGCCAACACCGTTTCTCGTTCTATTTGTGCCCGAATACCATAGTTTAAACCCTGAGTTTTCTAGATCCTTTGCCTTACGACCAACCCACTTAGTTTCTTGTAGGCACATAATATTTATCCTTCTCCTCACCATAACTTCTACTACTTCCATAGATTTTCCCGTCAAGGTTCCTATATTCCACGTTCCTAAACGCATTTTGCTCTCTTGAACTCTACCCTTCTGTCCTAGCTTCTTCACCCTTCCCCGTCTAATAGGATCAAAGTACTTCTTTTGTGTGTCCCGTGTAAAGTTGATAGGAGCATATGCTCCCAAACAACTTTGAGTGGAGTCGTTCGAAAAGAAGTTTCTATAGCCCCCTTGCTCATTTAACACTGTATCCGGATGCCGATGGAGATACAGCGACCCTTGCTCACTTATCACTGTGCTCAGGCCACACAGCGCGCCACTTACGGGTGACGCCCTAGCTTTAGCGCGATTTCGTTCTGGATTCATTTTCATAAGGATTCGACGTGATCATGGAGTGCCGGCTGTCGACTACCTGACGCCCTCCCCCTCCTCCTTTATCCGGGCTTGGGACCGGCAATGTAAGATAAACTTACACGGCGGAGTTCATATGATTCTTCACTGCCTTTAACAATATCGAATTATGTTCCTCACTACCAACTTTTTTAGTTTAAACTTTGACATTATTATTTGAACTTTGGTTTCGAAAATCTTAAAGATGTCTGCTCTGATTTATTCTATACTTTATTATCCTGGCAGAGTTGAGATGTTTAGAGAGTTTATCAAGATGGACAAAGCCTCCAGAAAAATGGCTGGTGACGTTGCTGGACCTGGTTCACGATCAGTTGAGATAGTAGTTCGCCGTGGTCATATTGTTGAAGATGGATTTCAGCAATTAAATTCCCTGGGTTCAAGGTTAAAGTCATCAATCCATGTTTCATTTGTCAGTGAATGTGGCCTTCCGGAGGCTGGCCTGGACTATGGTGGATTATCTAAAGAGTTTTTGACAGATATATCAAAAGCAGCCTTTGCTCCTGAGTAAGTTTCAGAGTTTAAATAGATAATAATCTATCACGAATTTGGCTTTCTTACGTGGTAGCGGCGTTTTTTTTTTAAGTCAATTTTCTAAGTTCACCTTTCCGATTATCAGTTATGGGCTATTTTCCCAAACCTCAACATCAGACCGACTTCTAATGCCTAATGCGTCCGCAAGGTTCCTAGAGAATGGTATCCAGATGATTGAATTCCTTGGAAGAGTTGTTGGCAAAGCTCTTTATGAAGGAATTTTGCTAGACTACTCCTTTTCACATGTTTTTGTACAAAAGCTGTTAGGTCGGTATAGCTTTCTTGATGAACTATCAACACTGGATCCAGAGCTTTACAAGAATCTCATGTATGTGAAGGTAAACATTGTATTTGTTTGTTTTGTCTTTGTCTCCCTTCTCATTTACTTTCTCAACCATTGGTCAATATTTTGAGGATCATGCAACTAAATTGAATTGATGTACGAAGTTTTAAGATAACATGGTAAGACTCTTCAGGATTTACCAGACGTTTTAAGAGTAAAACTTGGATGAGAAAGTAAGGAACTAATGTGCCTTGCTCCTTAAGGGGCTATATAACACCCAACAAAAGAAAGGCTATATGATGCCAAGACCACTTAATGTAAACTTCATAGGGTCCGTATGGTGGCATTGCTACCTAAACTCTTTGAAATAAGGTGAGTTTGGTTGCTTTGTCTGAAATATTTGAGATAAATATATTGGTTCATGTCCAGCTTTAGGTATCTGGAAGTTTCCATTCCGAATTAAGTTTGTCTTACATGTATTGAAATGCTTTGTCGCGTATTTCATCTCTTGAAAGATTTTGATCCTTACTTGTGTGGTTATTGCAGCACTATGATGGTGACGTGGAGGAACTCTGTCTTGATTTTACAGTAACTGAAGAATCATTTGGGAAACGGCATGTCATTGAGCTTAAGCCTGGTGGAAAGGATACTACTGTGACAAACAAGAACAAAATGCAATACATTCATGCAATTGCTGATTATAAGCTTAACCGACAGGTTTGTATTTCATTCCGGTTCAACTAAGGAAAAGATATTGTTTTTGAATAATTTACTATTACTGGTGAGAAAAAATTACCTTGTTTCAATGTTGAACTGCAGATATTTCCTTTTTCAAATGCATTCTATAGAGGGTTAGCTGATCTCATATCACCATCCTGGCTAAAATTGTTTAATGCAGGTGAATTTAATCAGGTAACTCCCTCAGTGTATGGGTTTGCTTGTAATTCTAGTGAATGTGAATGTATGACTGCTGGGTGCATTTCTCTATGATTGTACTCATATAAAATATGTTTCACTTGTAACCTAATGTGCCAATTAGTCTTATGCTCAATATATTGATCATCTTAAAACGTGTAAGTTTAAGTAGTCCCTTTTTTTTATTCCAAAAGTAGAAAAGTAAAACCATAAAAATGGACTATCATTTTTTGTACTTTGTTCTGTCTTTGGTTTATATCTGGCTGATAATGTGATAATTTGGAAAAAAATATCAATATGAATGGCTTTAAAAAGGGTAGTAGAATTGTTCCTCACTTGCAGCGAATTTGAAGGGGAAAACCAGAGTTTTATTTGTTGATCAATGTTGGAAGGGGGGTCGAACTTGTGACCTCTTCCAACGTTGGGAAGAGAAGCCATTAACCAAGAGCTATTTGGCAAGAAGAAAAATGTTGAAATCTGACAATAGGGACCACTGGAATTAAAATATAATAGTCACTTTAACTAAAGGATCCCTCTGTAGAGTTATTCTATCCCCAGATTTTCTGGGTGGGAAATAATTATAAGTTTTCTATCTTGATTTTACCATTAAAATATGTTCATAATGGCAGTGTAACTGGTCATTACGGTCCAGTATTAAGTCCTCAAATTCACATTTCCTTTAAGATTGCTGAACTTTCATGCACATGAGTTCAGTTGGTGTCAAATACTGATCTATAATTACTTTATGCAGTTGCTTTCAGGTGGAAACCATGACATTGATGTGGATGATTTAAGGAAGAACACAAGGTACACTGGTGGTTACTCTGACGGGAGCCGAACGATTAAAATTTTTTGGGAGGTATTGACTCATCTTTTGAGGTTGAATGAGCCTATATAAATTCGTGGAATTAGGTTTCCTTGTTTTAAGAACTTACACTAGTGGTTTCTCCAAAATGGTTCTTGTAAAATACATGTTCCCTTTTGTTTTGAATGAATCAATATGGAGTTCTGTATTTGTGGCCTATTATTTGTTACACATTCAAGACCCCATATGCTCATATAAACTTATTATGCTGTCTCTCTCTTCCCAACATCTCAGTGCTGGTTCATGTCTCACTATCAGAAAAGAAGCAAGTTAACTTTCATCATTATCTGATTTTTGAATGAACAGTCATATTATTCGTTTTTCATAATTGAAGGTGGTATTTGTTGTTTAATAAGTGCCCATTTGTTATTTGAGATGCCTACAATCCTTTTATGTTTTATTGAGTTTCTTCATACCATTACCACAGGTAATGAAAGGTTTTGAACCTAAAGAACGTTGTATGCTTCTAAAATTCGTCACCAGTTGTTCTCGAGCTCCATTACTTGGATTCAAGCACCTGCAACCTACTTTTACAATCCATAAGGTATCTTAATTGATCTTACATCTACATATATGTATGAGTATATACAATCAATTTATCAAACTTCCTCAAGAATTTGGTCTTATATAGGTTGCATGTGATATCCCTGTCTGGGATACAATGAGAGGACATGATGTTGAGCGGCTTCCATCAGCCTCAACTTGCTATAATACTCTGAAGGTACAATAAGGGAGAAATACCCCCTATCCCTTCTAATTTATCAATAACATTACAAAGGACGGGGTTCAGAAATGCTACTAGACTGCAACGTATATCTGTGGGCTCATTATGCTCTCTTTTTTTCCAGCTACAAATAACACTTATTTTTTTCATCCTATGTGATGCCTACAGCTTCCAACTTACAAACGTCCAAGCACTTTGAGAGACAAACTTCTATATGCAATCAGTTCCAATGCAGGATTTGAACTTTCCTAAGGTCTCAGCTAATACCTTTTTCTTCTTGCCTTACTGAACCTTAATCCTATCTTGTACCAACAGTATTTCTCACCAGTTACATACTGAACTCAGGTGAATTTTGATTTTCCTTGATTGTACGGATTTTTAAAGGCATAAAATATTACATATAGGTCATACCCATCTTGGCAGAGAATAACCCATAACCTCATATTCTTGTCCAGATTAGTCATTCCAGAGAATCCAGACAGAAGATAGAAGATATTAGAAACGGAAGAGAAATACTTTAAATTATCTGATAAGATGATAACTACACCCAATGATTGCCTTATAAGTTTTCATTTTTCCTTTTCATGTATAAAAAGGTTTGGCAAATCATTGAGTAAGCATCAGTTATGTAGCTTCAGGTTCATGCACGGGATTTACCTTCACTAACTTAGAACCTGTTTACAGTTTACAGAACTGCTTCACGATCTTATTAACACTAGGGATCTAAACACATGAACTTTCATAGTGAGAACATCGAGTGGCATTCTTACATGAATAGCAAAGCAACTTCACATTATGAGGAAACTAAATTCCTGAACTAAAGCCACTAAGTACCAATATATTATCATATTACATTATATAAGATAAAAAGAGTGCAGTAGTATTAGATTATGCCACTTTGGAAATAGATTCAAGATATGAGGTCAAAACCCTGTTGAAGTAGATCTCCAGCTAAGACCTCATTAGCAGCTTCAGAGGGATGGAATCCATCCCAAAACACATAACCAGTCGCATTGGTACATGTTCCTACAGACCTAGAGTTGCAAAGCACAGAGGTCTCTAATATACCTGTTCCACAACAAGCTCTTCTAGACTCAAAGAACCCTGTCACATTACATCACAGAAATATTAGAAAATCACTACGTTTAGCTCAAACAGATTTTTTATTATATTCATGTAGTGGTCTTGCTTTGTGAATGCTGATTGCTGAATGATGGTTTAATGTGTAAGTTAAAGAGGAAATGTATTTGTGATAGAGGAAATATATTTTACAAGATGCCAAAGAGGAAGCTGAGAATTTTTCCCTTAATATTTATTATCTAGAACTACTTTTGTTCTTAAGCAACGATTTGGATGGGAGGGGAGAGAACTTTGTATTCAGTAAAATGTCAAAAATTAAACATTAACATCTTTTATTTTCTCTAGATAATGAAATTTTGTAACTAGTATAGTTTTTATTTTGTCGATTGGTTTACTAATCAACCGAGAGGTGCTTTACCATTATCACCAGGATTCATAATCATATCCAGAAGAGGCTGGAAGATATTGAAGACCACAAGCTTGAGGCCTGGAAGCCTATTCTTCAAATCTTGAGATGTGCTGTTTAGCTTATTGTTGAAATAAATGGCATCTTGGTTTAACCTTGGGACACATTCGTTGGTTCCAGAGCCAAACATTGTGATTGCTGCTGGCAAACACCCAATTGGTGGTAAGTTTGTGACTCCAATCCTTCGTGCTCCGAGTGCATACAAATTCTGTCAATGTGCTGCTTATGTCATGAGTGTATTTAAAGAAACAGATAGACTGATGTACAATTTGCTGTATCAAACATATCCACTATTATCATCATGCAAATCTATTTCTATATGATCACTATGCATTTAAATCGGTTCTGTTTCACATACATTTAGGTTTGGTCAGCAAACATCATTCGGTAATGTGATTATTTCTTCTTTTTTCGGGATCATGGACAAGACCAATAACTAGATATAGCAAAGATCTGACCAGGTTTGATACTAATTGTTACGTAAAAATAGTTGAGAGGGATGCAATATGATGTTTTGTTTAGAAAAAGCGCTTTTCCATTTATTTCCAGATAAAGAGAAAGTAAATAGTATATAATCTGAGTTGTGGAGTGACCTGAATGAAAGTGGAGTATGATCTAATGAGAATGTTTGAGAACTGGTCAGGTGAGTAGATTCTAAGAAGGGGATTGATATAGTAGTTTTGAATGAAATCACTGGTCCCTGCGCTTAGAAGGTGGATGGCACCAGAGAATATGGCACTGGTGTTGTTGCTACCCACCATACTCACCACTTCATTCTGATACTGCCTATAGTAATTCAGTTGCCGGGTCAGCGAAAGTGTATTCTGCAAAACCAACAGTGATCAGCATGAGAGAGAGAGGGAGGAGGGGAGAGAGTTTTTACTGCTTACATATAAGAAAGGTGTGTAATCCAAATAGCCAGAAGCAGCTGATGCAAAGTTGACTCTGGTCAGGAGGTTCTGCCCTTCGGCTTCTGGGCTAAGGTAAGCAGGCGGGTATGAGGTGAATCCTAGATATTCAGCTGTGAAAGGCAGTGCTGAACTAATTATCTTCAAGCAAAAGGGAGGATAAAAAACAGTTGGTAAAAAGTTTTTTTACCAGTGAAGTCTGTGGTAAGCTTTCCATTGCAGAATCTTCCAGTTGGTCTATGAGTCACAAAGTCTCTTCCATAAGGAGGGAAGTTTGCCTTGATGGGTGTAGTGAGGTTGTTGTTGTTGCCCGCATCAGCAACAGAGTCCCCAAAGATGATAAGAGCAGGAACCAGAGGGTCTGCCCAAGCCGCTGCGAAAACCAGCACAAGAATGCTCAAGAAAGCCAGGAGTTCACTTGAAATCCCCATTTGCTTTTGTATGTTCCAACAGTGAAAAACTCACTGGCCAAACACAGAAGGGATATGGAAGAAAAGGTTGGGTTGAGTGAATGAAAAATGAAGAGGGCAGGTGGGGGGCAATTTAAGGAGAACAAGCAGTACCTACATATCTCGTTTTATGAAAGTTGCTCTCAGGTTTAAAAAGCGGTACAAAGCTGCCATTTTCTGGTAAGTAAACATGTTTAGTGCTTATGATATTTGTCCTATTTGTTAGCCTGTTGCAGTGATAGTGCCATCATTTTGTCCATTTTCTGGGTTTGTTTTGAGGAGGGACAAATGGTTTAGTTAAAGCATTAAAAACTTTAAGAAAGCTTATGGAAAAATATTGGCCTCTTGTAAACTCCTCACGTTATACATCATTCAGGTGCCGTGATCTGGTTGTATCGATGAATCTCTCTACCTTTTGAGAATCTATCAGTGTCCAGAACAAAAGTTGGTACACCAAGTGTAGTAATACAAGCGGAGGAACAATGAAAAATATATTCTCTCTACTTATACTATGGCAAGTGGTGTAATGACTTGTGTTTCGAGTTTCTTGTCCATTTTTTCCGAAGGGCCTAGTCTTATAGAGATAGCTTCCTCATCAACGCTCATGTCCAAACTTACAGTAGCTTTTCTCGACATCCTTAATCTTCATAGATGTTGCAAGAGATGTGTACAAATTTACAAATCTTATTTGTTGAATTGATCACTTTCTAGTATTTGATCGATATGCTGTCAATATTTAATTTTTTTAATGTAAACAATAATAACCATTTTAATCAATATGCTAGGAACAAATTTTTTTTAATCACGAGAACAGATTTTTGATCAATATCCATAAATCATTTTAATCCTCAAAGTTCAACTGGGAACAAATTCTCCGGTTATAAGATGTGATTGTAAGATAGAGGTTCATGGCCAAAGGGGTAGAAGAAGATCTAGGAAAACTTGAAAATAGACCTTAAAAAAAGACTTGGACTACTTGGACCTAACGGAAGACATGGTACAAGACCGAGCGCAGTGGCGTTCTAAAATTCATATATCCGACCCCACTTAGTGGCGTAAGACTTTATTTGTTGTTTGTATTTTTATTAATCACGAGGAGAGATATAGGAAGAAGGGGTTATACACCACGTTTCATGGAAGTTGCCGTCGTGTTTAAGAGGGGGTAAAGCTTTTGTTAGCCTCCTCTTGCAGGGATGCCATCATTGTGTCAATAATATAGGTTTGTTCTGGAAGGGCAAATGATATAGTTAAAGCATCAAACACTTTTGAGTGTCACGAATGAACGAATTGCTGGTGATATGAATGAGTTTGTGGTTAAACATGTCCCAACTCAATACCTTGAAAGCCAATTATTGCTTCAACCCTTCAGGTACACATTTGTCAATGGCAGGCCTGTAGACTCGTTGGGATCACTGGTCATTGTTTAAGTGTGGAAATATTCCACTTCAACCATATCTGTGAAAAAAGAAGAGTTTAAATATCCTAAACCCCACTCCAACTAACACCGAGGCTTTTGTGATAAAACCTCACACCTGACGGATTGTGGTAATTAACAAGTTGGGCACAATATTAATGTTGTTGGAATTGGGCATTTAGCTAGTCTCTCTGATAATTCTACAGTAAGTATGGATACCTATGGTGTGGTTTGGATCCAACCAAGGTTGATCGCGGTGGTGCTTATATTGTAAGGCAGGCAGCAAAGGGTGTAGTATATATTGAGGTTTCTAATGCAGTTGGCGTCCCAGAACCAATATCAGTGCATGTTGACACCTTAAAAACCAATATCAGTGCATGCTAGATATTATTAAGGAGCAATTTGACTTTAGGCCGGGAACGATTGCCACCAACCTTGGTTTGAAAAAGGAGGCAACCTCAGGTACCAGAAGACTGCTACTTTTGGTCACTTTGGTCGCGATGATCCAGACTTTACTTGCGAGACGGCGAAGCTCCTCAAGCCCAGGGCTTAAAAAAGAAGCATAATTTTGAAAAATGTACACGTGAGATCAAAGTTTCTCTCATCTTGTAGCCTAAGGGGTTCTATTCATGCCAAGAAAACTTCACTTGAACGCTTTTGTTATTGAGATTTGTAATTAAAGCATCTTTTACAAAGATTTCATATGAAGGTAGATATCAGTACAATTTACAGGTTACTGATTTCAGTTAAAGGAGAATTTGGCCCTCCCTGAGACATGTTATATGTTAATTCAAAGTCGAATATTATGTGTTGATGCACTAAAGCAAGACTTCCTTGCAACCTGATGCTCCTCTGCATAATCCGAAACAGAATGTCTTCCAAAACACTTAACTTGTCCATGCCTTTCTTTCTCATCCAATCTTCCTCGTCCCTTCTCATTCCCTTCCACCCATCTCTTAAGCCTTCGGAATAACTTTTTTCTTTTCGGATGCTCTTGATCGCTGCTCATATTTCCAAAGCACTGCTCACAATTTCCAATTTCTGCTCTTCCTTCCAAATTTATTTCCAGATTATTATCCTTCTCTTGAGCCTGCTGCTCTAGTTGCGCTTGATTTCTCATCAACTCCTGCCTTAAGCAAGCATTGCTCCACCTCAAGTAAATCAGTTCCTTAATTTCAGCTGCACGATCCTTTTTCAGATTCTCCAACTCCTTTTCGAGGCCTGTATAGTCCTCGATTTTAACCCCTTCTCCTTCAGTCTGCATTTTTTGATACCTCAAAATGGTTAGACTATCCATTTCCAGGAAGCAATATATATAATTGTTCTTTTATTCTTTTGACAGGTATTAAATTATTGATCATCTAATTGCAATTAGCTAAGTTGTTTGATTATTATAAACCAAAGGAATCTGAACTTTTGCAATCTAAAGTGATGCATGCATTAGTAACTGTGATCTCTATGCCTTGAAGAAGAGTGTTTTCACCTTGGAGATTGAAGCCGCCGATTTTTCTGCCAACGCAAGCCTTGCCAAGAGCCCCTTTTTCTCATCTTGCACTCGCTCCAAAACCGCTCTCAATTCCCCAGTTTCATACTCCAATTTCTTGATAACCTTTGCCCTTGTTTCTTGTGCATCATGGATTCCCAAAGCTTCTGCTTCCCTAGCTTCAAGTTTCGAGTCTTGTTCGCGTATTACACGATATTGCCTTCTTGCTTTCCTCAAAAGCTTCTTTACCTTCCTCTGAAGCAATCCATTTTCTGATTTCCAATACTCCATTTGCTCCGAAGCTCTCAAACATTCTCCAACCAATTTCTCAAGCCCTTGGCTCTCAGCCTCCATGGATGAAGCTTCTCTCTCCAATAACTCAACACGAGCCACTTCCAATAACAACATATTCGAAAGCTCCATAAGAACAGATTCTTGCTCTTTCAAGTTGCAGTAGCGTATAAACTGCATCTCCAAATCAGATTCTCTTTTCTGAAGCTCATCAAGTCGGAGTCTTAGGCACGAAATCTCTTCTTCCAATACGTGTTTATTATCTTGAATCTCCAAACATTCCGTTGAAAGCATACATGCAGAGCTGAAACTATGAACATCCTCATCTCTAAACTTCGGAGAATTGGCCTTGAGGTAACTCACCTGATCATCAGTTCCTGTTGACGACCCTTTCAGATTAACGCTTCGGTTAGCCATAATCTTGGCACAGATGAAACCAGCCACTGACAAAGCTAAAGGAATCACAGCTGCTTTCAGCACTGGCTTTATGATGATATCTGCCTTTGATGTTGAGCTCTCCATCCTAAAAAACCAACTTGATGCTCGTGCTAGGCTGTTGGATGATCGAATTCAGATCACGATATGAAATCACAACGAAACTTGATTAGTTTCTTGAATGTCAAGGCTTTACTTCTTATGGACGTAATCAAACAATGTGAGTTTTGTTATATAAAGCTGTTAGGATTATTCTTTAGCTTTGTGTTTTGTGCTTAGCCTTCCGTAAAGAGAGGTAGAGGGGGCTTTCTGTTGCCTTTCTATTACACTATCAGGCCTTTATCTCACTTTTATACAACTTTCTTGGTGGAGTTTGGATTTGGAATCTAATTCCTTCTCTAATATTATTTCCGCGAATGCACACGTGGGTGTTTAGTAACATATGTTTCTTTTTTCCTTTTTGGAGACGAGCGACATGGGGTGCGACGTAATTCCCAATGAAAATATCGGTGATATCGGAAATATCGGTGATCCAAAAACATGGAAATTTCAATGCAAATATCGGGATATTATCGATATCGATAAAAATTGAATAAAAACCACGGAAATTGTAAGAAAAACTTGGAAATTTTTATTAAAACTTTGCAGGATGTTTATTTAGTTAATTATCTATTAGTTTATTACAAAAAATTGGAAGGAAATGCATTGCATGATGGATTTAACTGATTTAAGTTGATTATTTAGCGAGCTGGCAAACATTGTGAGTGTAGAAAATATGTAGTAATTAATGAAAGAAGTTTAAACACACCATAATCATTTATATAATGAATTAGTACAATATTTACACTTTATACATTGCATGGTAAGATAGATGAGTGACTTAGTACCACATAGAGTTCCTATCAAGGTCTAAAATATCGATGATATCGGAAATATCGGTAGTCCAAAAACACGAAAATTTCGATGTAAATATTGGGATAATATCGATATTTTAGACTACCTTGCAATACAATAGCATGTTTGATAACATTTTGTAAAACAGTTTTTTATTTTTCAGATACAAAAATATGTGTTTGGTAATTTTTTATTATTATTATTTTTTTTTTTAAGAAAGAACTCAGAGAACAATATTTAACTAAAATTATTTAAAAGATCAAATTATGTAAAAGAAATTACAAACAACGTAAGAAAAACAAAGCCAAAGTTTTGGGAAAAGATCAAAAAAAACTATGTACACCACAACCACCTTACCATGGCCATCACAACCGGCATTCCAACTATAAGTATTGTCGCCGCCAGCACTCTACTACTGCCATGATCACCCCGCCACCTCTATCATCACCTCAATCCCCAACCACCTCCCAACAATTATGCCACCTACACCTTCTAACCATCATTGTTAACAACATCCACATCCACATCACCATATCCACCGCATTTTCCCCTTCCACCACCACCACCACCTCCCAACAGTTACATTCCCACGACCACGCTCACCATCATTTTTAACCCCTCCTCTGACCATGGCCACCACCACTTTCACCATCATTGCCACCATTATCCCCACCACCTTTTAACAACTCCATTACTGGCCACTACCACACTTATTGTTATCACCACTCCTACCACCATCACTAACTCCGCCGCCTCTCAGCACCATTGCCAATGCCCCATTTTCTTAATCTTGGGACCAAAATAGGATTTTGCAAACCGTGCACACAACATGCACAACAATATGACAGAAATCCCCCCGACCAGATCACTCTGCCAATTAACATGTAAGAAAGATCAATTAACAACGACGGTCTTGCCACCCCCCTTCGCAAATCCACTAGAAGTACGATGACGTTACTGTCATAGGCGAGATGTGGGAAAACGTCATGGAAATCTGTTTATCTCTAGAAGGAGTCCAACGAAGCCCGCTAGCTAGAGAACCTATAGACTTGCCGACATGAAGGCATGTATCAAAGACCTCAAAGAAGCTGTTTCCTGTTTGAAGAGTTGGCTACCCGAATGACGGAAGTAATTGATCTAACCTCCGAGGAGCCACCTCAACTTCTTATCCCTGAGGAACATTGTAGGAAATCCAAGAATGGTGGCCACCATTAACAAGCCACTGGCGATCGATTCCAATATCTTGATGTTCTCTGACAGTGATTTGAAAGATATCCATTCACCTCATGACGACGCCCTCATCGTTAAGGTTCAAATCTCTAACACCCTGGTAAGCTGCGTCGCTTCTTGGTCGATAATGGCTCAGGAGTTAGCGTTCTCTTTAAGGATGCCACTGAAAAGATGGGGATTCTCTACAGCATCAACAAGGGAATACAACCCTTCACACCTTCAACGGGGCACCGGTGCAATTTCTAGAGACAATGAAGCTAGTGGTCCAAGCAAAACCCTATAATCACTTGGTGACCTTCCACGTAATGGATTGCCCAACTCCCCACAGCGCCATCCTTGGCCGGACTTGGTTACATAAGATGAAGGTTGTTCCGTCCATTTACCACAAGTTACTCTATTACCCGGCTCTCGACATAGTAAAAGTAATAAAATGAGATCAATCAGTGGCACGTTGTTACGCTATCAAAATCATGAACATTATCAGAAAAAAAAAAGAATGAAGCTTCAGTACCCGCATGTATGAATTAGCATAACAATCATAGTCAAGGGGTCAGCAGACGAGTTTCAAAGAATTCGACCTAGATCTTAACCCCCAAGATGACAGTACACTAGAGTCAAGGCTAAATAAGACGTTGTATATATCAGCCTCGATCCCTACAGATTGGAATAGAAAGCTAGGATTGGCTTGAAGCTAATTGATCGAGAGAAAGAACTGTTGACCAACTTCTTATAAGCTAACAAAGAACTATTCGTATGGTTAGTATAGGACATGCCAGGAATCGATCCCTCTGTGATCTGCCACCGTCTGGACCCAACTGCCAGACCAATTATCCAGTGTAAACAAAACCACGAAACAGAGTGAAGTATGATCATAGAGACGGAGATCGATAAACTCAAAGACGCCCAGTTTATTGTTGAAGTCTATCACCAAGACTAGTTAGCAGATGTAATGCTGGTGCAAAAGATGAATAGAAAGTGGAGAGTATGTGTGGATTTCACGGACTTGAATAAAGAATGCCCAAATGATCTGTATCCACTTCCACGGATCAACCTCTTAGTAGATTCAGTCGTAGGACACAAGCTCCTAAGCTTCATGGATGCTTACTCTGGGTACAACCAGATAAAGATGTATGAACTGGACATGGAAGCAACAGGTACATACTACTATAAAGTTATCCTTTGGACTTAAGAATGCAGAGGCAACATACCAATGACTCGTTAATCGGATCTTTAAGGAAAAGATCGAAAACACAATCGAAGTCTATGTAGACAACATGGTTGTCAAAAGCAAAGAGAAGAAGGACCACATGACACACCTCCAAGAGTCATTTGACTTGCTCCGAAAGTACAACATGAAGCTGAATCCATAAAAGTGTACCTTCAGAGTAACATCATGCAAATTATTGGGTTACATGGTTACTAAGCATGGAATTTAGGCTAAGATGCAACCAAGTACAAGTACAAGTCTTCTCCATCGACTGGTTTGGATAGCAAGGTTTGGAGATGTATTCTTTAAGCTTCATGAAGGCTTCTTCGCATTCATCTGTGTATAGTAGACCCTTGCTATTCTTATTGCCATAAAGAACCGTTTTCACTTGTCAGTCGTGAAAAGAATCTACTGAGGGCTACCGCTCGCTTTAGACTTTGTATTTTCTTCATGGTTATGGGCGATCTCATCTCTATGATAGCCTTGATCTGGTCTGGAATCCTAAAGACTGATCTCGACTTGCAGAGGAGCATCAAGAATACGCTCTCAAGTTCGACTAGCAGCCTATTAACAGTAGATCCAATCATATTACAACAAAGGTGTCAAGCCCAAAAGTCTGCAAATCGGGGACTTGGTCTTAAGAGAAGTTTTTTAGAATACCAAAATCCCAAGAGAGGGCAAACTCGGGGCAAACTGGAAAAGACCATAAAAATCACTAAAGTATGAGGCAATAACAAACCTATCACTTAGAGCACATAGATGGAACACCGATCACCAAGAACTAGAACATTGCCAAGCTCCGAAAATATTATCCATGAACGCGCCATCCGAACTACACGCAGTTTGATTCCCTCCCCAAGATATGAAGGCAGTCCACTCCGAACCCAATCGCAAAGCCATCATCTACACGAAGATAAGTGAATGGAGAACTTATCTCCTCACACCTTACCATAGACTTATCGTCAAAAGTGATCCCTGGTGTAATTTTTACATCATATTATCTTTTTCTTAGAATTACACCGATGATTTGATTCTCCATCCCGAAGATATGTAGTCAATCATTTCCAGATTCAATCATACCCCCTTTTTCAATCAATCCTATTTTGATTATGAATAAAAAAAAGTCTTCTTTCAACGTTTATTTCTTTTTTTCTCTTTTACGATGCATGGAACATCTCGTAAGCTTTGAAAACTTTGCACGAATGTAAGTATAAAAAGTTCAAAGTAATATTGTCAGAGGAACCTCCCTTAGCCCAATCTGTCTTGAACGGTTAACAGCTTGATAGACTTGAACCGTAATAAGCACGGTAACGGTTGGTTGGCTATAGGCACAGGCACATAGTGTCCTAACCTGAAGTCCAATGCACCATCCAACCTTTGGAAAGTTTATACAAATAGTAAGGTTTGGGTTATAACATTCAAACCCGAGCTCTTCACTAGTTGACAGAATAGTCGAAAGGGCGATCCGGAAATCATTCAAAGGTGGCTCTGAACTCCGACCCCGAGTACAACTACTTCTATCCTGAACCAGCATACTAAGCCAAGTATGTTCTGCAACATCATATGTTAGTAGGTTCGAAGAAGGCATCTAGACTAAGTAATCCCTAAGAGAAATTTTATTCCAACGAAGCTCCGATATGCGAAAAGACTTTGGCCAAGCCAACCAAGGTGGTTCGATCGGAAACACTTATGTCTAACGCATAGGCTCTAACCAAAGGATTCAAAAAGTGTTTTTTACCCACATGTTGATGACCAAGTTTCCAAATAACTTTTATTTAAAATCACTGGAAACGGACATGCGATCTAGTCTAGAAAGAAAATTCCCTTCTCTGACTACGTTGCAAGTAGGCTTGACAAACATGTCATGTTTGTCGTTTTTGTGTAACACCTGCTATCTTAACGGGTTATATTGTGTCACACCCATTATCTTAACCGGTTCTTAACAGGTTGGGTCATTTTACCCAACAAGTAAAATGACCCGACTCGTTATGACCCATTAAGAAAAAAAAAATATATATATATTATATAAATTTGAACATACCACAATGCCACATAAACATTACTTCAAAACATAAAAACACATTTGTCGTTAAGTACTACATACTCCAAAATAAGAGCTTAATAAAAAAGCATCAATACACTACTACAAAATATCAAATGTCCAAAGATATGAAAAATGAAGGAGTTTTTCTTTTCAAGGTTGTGAAACATTTCTCAAAAGTTAAAACCTTGCCAATGAAACTCAAAGCTTGCATGTTGTTCTTTTTACAAAATCCTTCAATTTTCATTGATCATCATGGGAAAATAGTATTGGAACTTTGATTTGATTTATTGTCTTCAAAAGTTATATTGATGAGAGAGAGTCCAATTTAGGGCTGAGAAAAACATTGGGTGGCCAAGATTAAATTTCAGCCGATCCAACAGTCATCCATTTTCTAAATATATATATATATATATATATATATATATATATATATATATATATATATATTAACTTTTAGTTCGGTTAGGGATTTAATTATACTGATGTTAATTATACTATTTTTTTAGTGGTATAAAATTATTAAATTCATTTTTTTTTATCGTGTAACAGGTACCCACGTGTATACCTATATCGGCCCATTATTTCAACTGGTGCTTATCGGATTACCCGATAACGACCCGATTCATTATTATGTTGACCCGAAAACCTGTTAATTTCGTGTCGTTTAGTGTCGGATTAACGGGTCATGTCAAAAATTGCTAGCCAAAGACTAGGGCAAGGTAAAAATAGTTGATTATCATTTAATTCTTTCGCAAGTAGCTTCAGACTTAAACTTCTTCAATCCGATAAATGTATTGATAAGCATGGAGCAAAGGGTCCTTCATGAGTTTAATGCTCAATTCCTAGTACCATAGCAAGGTGGTTCTCTGACTATTGTGATGAGGATCCTTTACTGATGCTAAGTTTGAGAGGTAATATTTTTTCCGAATCAACATTATCAAGGAGGCTTTTTGAGCCATGTCCCAAACCCATAAACTTATTTGCATTCTGTTATGTTGCTTATTTATTTCTTGAAGTACGTTTACTTAGAAAAATTTATCGAATTAAGAATCTCCTCACATATACAAAGACAAAGCAGATAGTCACACAAGCACATGCTCATTGTCCAATTCCCAATAAGAGGGACCAAATAGTTATAGTGTTTGGGGGAGACAAGCTCTCACCCCTAGCAAAAGGAAAATCTTAAAGACAAGGCGACATGTTGGACCAAAATCATTAGTGTTGAAGAGGATACCACTATCAGATCAATGGCATACTATGCCCATCTTGCTGCATTTCGAGCATGACACTACATTGAGGGCGAACATTCAGATGGAGATCTGCCACCGTCGTCGTCTATAAGCAGAGGAAGAGGAAGAAAACGTTGATGGAAAACCCCAATGTAACCTTAATACCTCGAAGAGATTGGACTCAGATGCAAATCCTGCATCGTGAGTGCCTAAACGGGATGAATGTTATGGAACAAATCGCAAGAAGTGAAGGACATTAAGATAGAACTATGGCTAAATAAGGAAACATTTAGCTTTGTTGGACAGAAATCGACAAACAAGAGGAAGGATTTTGGTTGGAAGATTCTCGACATCGAAAGATCAAAGAAGAAACTGACAACAGAAGCATTGGTTAGAACACAAGAGTTCAATAATGTAGAAACGAAAGTGGTTGTGAAACAACTATTTAAAAGCAAATCATTAGAAGATTTCACCATTGAAAACAAAGAGTCGTGTACCTTGGGATCAATACGTGCAAAGATTGAAGCCAATTAATGAAAAGTGTGGAAAAGCCTGCACACGAAACAGAGGCGTTCATCATCATTGCAGTTGATTTTTCACGATTCTAGAGGTTAGTTATGGAAACCGAAGCGACTCAACTACCCCGCTTTAATGTTTGAGAACCAAACTAGCTCACAAAGAATCTGAAGACTAAATGGTGCATTTTCCAACTTACTCTGTAAGGCATGGTCTTTGGTTAACAATTCATCCTTAAAAGGAAAGGGTTGCCTCTCAAATAAATGGTTAAGGGCAACTGTGGGACCATGACTTTCCTGGGCCAAAGTAAGCCTAATCTGAATACAGTTACCTCAGAAGTCCTGTCATGGACTTACCAGCTTCAGGGCGGAGCTATATCAAACGAAGCAGCGGTGCCACCATCACCAGCTTCAGGGCGAAGCTGTATCAGACAAAGCAGTGGTGCCACCATCACCTGTTCCGGGACAATATGTGGAGTCCTAAGGACTCCGCTGGATGACCATGCTTGTCCCATAGGACACGCAATCTGATCTGAATATGGACATAATTAGATCATTTGAGTCTTGGAATTCCTATAATTTAGGAATTAGTGTGCGCTACAAGTAATCATAATTGCTAAGAGAATGCAATATCTACTACTAGATATCCTCTAAGAGATTCTCCCGACTTAGAACGAGGATTCTATCCTATAAAGGTCTCTTTCTCCACGGTGCAACACACCCATCTAGGGTTCATCTATTGTAATGCCAATCTAAATACTTCAATTCACTAATCCATTACTTGAGTCTAAAATCAGTCACTAACTTGACCGTCGGAAAGCTTTTGGCCAGCACAAACCCCTCCCTCTGCTCTAGTCTCAGGCTTGCTCACGTTGTTTACTGTTTTGCAGGTTGCTCGAGTTTATGCTTAACCACCACTCATTGTGGTGCAGGAATTTGGTTCCAACAGAATGGTTCCGTCGCACAAAGGCCTTTTCATCTTTATCAGGACAAGAGCTCTCCATTTCTTGCAATTCATCATTTTCATCAAATTCACTTTCTTTCTCTTTCTCCAAAATTCATTCACTGTAAACTGATCGGCTGCTCTTTAGCATCCACCTACAACACCTCTTCCCAAATTTCTACATCTCTCATAGTCCCCCAAAGATATTACATTTATTCTTAATAATTTTGAAGTTGTGAAATTTGTAATGAAATCTTGTGTTCTTAGTTTATGTTGTGAATTTGTTATATATATTGTGAATTTGTTTTATATATATTGTGAATGTATTCTTGATTAGTATGTTTTAATATTTGTGAGAATTTTGTTTAAAAAAAATTGGGGAACTTGTTGAGGGATAGGTTTGGAATGTTGAGATATGGGTTGTATGGCCGAGTTGGGGAGGGGGAGAGGTGGTGAAGGGGACAGGTTTGGGGACGAAAAAGGGTTTGGGGACAGGGAACGGTGGAGAGGGGTACATGTTTGGGGAAGGAGACGAGTAGAGAGGGAGATGGTTGGGGAAGGAGATGAGTGGGGATGGGGACGGTTGGGGAGGGGGACAGGGTAGGAGGGGGTACAGGGATTAAGGAGTGAGGGTACGACGATGGGTGATATGGTCAAGATAAATTTTTGTTATATTACAATTTTTTAGGAAATTTCTAGAAATTTTTTAGATAGATACCTAGGCGCCTCATTGTCGTCACCATTTTTCTTGGCTAACGACTCATGGTTGAATATGCACAAGTCATGGGCGTCCAGCATCCCCACGGGTTCATTCAATGTTGAATTACACAATACTTGTACTCATCTGCCTTAATTGCCTTTTGACTACCCATAAATGGAGGAACATCTCCTCCGAAGTGAAGCAAGCCCTAATGGTAGAGCTCTCAGGAGTTATTTTTTTAAATTTAATATTTTAATAATTTTAATTATGATAATTACTAAATTACTCTACTTTTATGACTAACACTTGTTTTTGGTCTATTTCAAATCAATTTCAATATTAATGTAGGAGACTCGAGTACGTTGGACTGCGTTAATCGGTTGTGGACTAAGAGATTCAGAGAGTGGATGTTCGAGCTACACTCCCAGTACAAGAATTTTGCAAGTCATGAAGAAGCTCTACCCATCAACCCCATGAATTAGCAAATAGGATGGACCAGTGAGAGTGGCTTTGTGGTTATTTTCAGAATTTATAAATTCTAGCATCTTCCATGGAACGAGTGAAGCTATTTATTATCCGGAATAATATTTTCTTTCCAATAATGTTGTACGAACTTTGGTATTAATTAAATAAATTTGTTTAATTTTATGATATTAATATAATAATAGTTAATTATTTTTTTAAATTAATGTAGACGACCATTTCCGTCGGCCAACGACATCAACTAATTTTTTATCTTCAGTTAAAGCATGTCGTCGGGCAAAGTTGACAAAAATTATTTTTATAAATATTTAGTTTTTGCGCGACGGTAAGTTTTCGTCGAGTGAAACATTGTCCGCAGGGCCTCGACGGTCAGCAAAAGACTCGCTCGATGAAGTTTAGTCGCCATGTTCATCAGGCAAGACCTCATTGCCTGACAAAGTGTTTTACGACGGCTTTTGCTCGATGACTTTTACTTGACAGAATTCCGTCACCTTATCTTTTCGTGACTAACATTGTCCTTAGGAGGCGTAACAGATTTCATCTCCCAAGTCGGTTTTTTTGTAGTGTATATCTACTGATTTTTTTTAATGGAATTCCCTTTTAATTGATAGTTATTCAATCCTAGTAACCCAAAAGCTACACACATATCTTTTTGCTTACAGTTGATTTTAACAAAATCCCAGCAGTCTGCATAAATTTTCTAGAATACTCGATAATCATCTCTAGCAAGAATGCTATATTTTTCACTTTTACTTACCGAAACGTAATGAAAGTTCAGAGAAAACGGGTAGAATGATTGAATGCCTCAATAGATCACTTGAGCCTTAATTTTGTATTATATATTTGGGAAATGATAAGCACATATTTTTTTCTTTTTTCACCCACTCATGTTTAATCATGTCTGTCACAGCCAGTCCCGAGATTCTATATATCGAGGTTGTGAAATGACAAAATTACCCTTGACGGTTACTAAGGTATGTGTGTGACATGTTATTGATTATGCATATTTCCTAAGTTTTGGAAAAATTTAATTGGATTAAAGGTTATATGTATTTTTGTGGTTAGGGAGTTAAGAAAAATGGATGGTGATGGTTTTGGGATG